ATTTTTTTGTTTACTATATATATATATATATATATGTAGTGAAAGAGATAATCAGGTACCTCGGAAAAAAGTTTGTATTTTGTGTGCGATCTGTCAAGAAGGATTACCAAAAAAGTAGTCAGCAAAAATCTTATAGCGAAGAAACGGGCGACTTACCTCGTCAACCCAAGTGACAGCGTCGTGTGTATTCTGTGACGGAAAAGAAACAAGTCCGTCGCAGGAGTCGCTATAAGAGGATATTGATATGCAAATTACGAAGCATCCTATCCCAGCTGTCGACGAATGAAAAAATAGGTTCTGCCGATAAAAAGCAGTTGGTGTTCTCGATCAGGGTGGAAGGAAATTCAGGCATTTTTTTGATTTACGGCGTTTGTTGGGAGAGTAATCTGCGACAAATTTGCTTTGAGAACGCTTACACTTACAATATAGTATGAAAATCTATGACAAAGCAGAAAAGAGGAGATGCCAAGATTTTAATTCTAAATTATTTTTTTATATATATATATGTTTAGGATATATAATCTTGCCATTAGTTTCTTTTCTCAAATTTCTCGCTTTTGAGGTTCCAGATTCTTGCTTTCCAATCAATGTCGATCTTCAAAAATTTAAATGCAATCTCAATTCTTATATCCTGTCCTCATCATACCAATTACCATGAAAATATTTATAGAAAAAGCACAGGGATGTTACACTGCAGCAATGGGAAAGTGAAGCTGAGATGCCAGGTCAAGACAAATAACGTTGCAAATTCTTCTTTGTATTTTATCAAGAATTTCTAAATACATAGCAGTAGTACAAGATCATATGTGGCAGCAATATTCAAAGCATGGACTTCTTATTTTTTCCTCTTACATTCATACGGCAATTTCACATTAGTAATCCACTACTCTTCTAGGGCCTTGTATTTGGTGAATATTTAAAAAAAATTAAAAACACCATCTGCTATGACAAGACTGAAAAATGAGTGAAATTTTCATATTAGCAATATATGTATGACTATTATGCAGGTGGAAATTTTTACTTCTTTATACTAATGTTGACTTAATACAAGCCTCGAGAGGTACTCAAGGCAAAGGATTACTGATATATTGGTAATGATGAATGAGGTGTTTTTATAAATGAAAAATGTTTTGGTAGAAAAGGAAGGCTATGAGGATAAGGAGGACAGATAACAACTGCCTCTTGACTTTAAGAGGTTAAGACTAGTTTTCAGGGAAGCACCTCTGTGGGAGTCTGTTTCACAAAGTAGCGATTCTTGGGGAAATAGCTGCCTGAAATGAACTTTCCTCTTCTATATAACATTCCAGTAGGCATGAAACACCATCTGTTTCAGCTATGGCTGAAGAATGAGTGGATTTCTCATATTGATAAGATATTTATGACTATTACACAGGATGAAATGTTTTTTTTTTTTTTGTTACACTAACATTTACATAATACAAGGCTCAAGAGCCACTCATGGTAGAGTGTTGCTGTTAAAATTCTAATGATAAAAGATTATATGAATAAAAGAAGAAATTATAGGAAGTAAAGATTATGAGGATAAGGAAGAGAAATAACAACTGACTATTGACTTGAAGATGTTGAGGGAAGCATACATGTGGGAGTTTGTATTTTTGAGCTTGATGTACAAAAGGATAGTAAGACTGCTGATAAAGGACAATGACACATGCAGAGATTACATTAATTAATCAAACTTAAGAGGGATAATGAGTTTTTAGTGGGTTTTCTCTTTTTTCTGAAAATTTATCCAGGGATGGTGCATACTACAGTTGGCCCCAGACAGTGCTTTGTGATTCTTGTTACCTTATCAACATTTACTTTTTTTTACCTACATTTATATGCTTTACAAATTAAACTAAGCACATGAAGGATTTTTGCAGATTTTAACATCATCCTGGTTCTTTTTTTTTTTCCGTCCGAATTCACAAACCTCTTTTGCTCATGTTGTCTTGAAAAAGAAAACACTTTATAAAATTTTTTATCCATGATGTTGAATGTCTTAAAAAAAATCAATTTTTTAACAAGAAAAATCTCAAGTGGATGTTAAAAAATTCTGCAAAACATTGTTGATTTATTTAAGATGGAATGATCTATTATAACATATCTCTAATTTTTTTTTATAAGCATTTCACCCCAAGCAAGGCAGGAGCGCCACTAGCATGCAAGGGGTTATAGAGAGTGAATGTAACATTAAAGAGGAGTGTTTGAGGAGAGAACAAAAAGAAGGACGGGGATCAGGATCAAGGCATCAGAAGATGTCGATTTACATTACATTTGAATATTTGAAGATTCTATCTCAGTCTACTCATATCTACCTATCTATATTATATAAGCATTTCAACCCAAGCCAGGTGGGAGTGCCATTAGCATGCAAGGGGTTACAGAGAGTGAGAGCAAGAGTAAAGAGGGGGTGTTTGAGGAAAGGATATAGAAAAGGACAGGGATCAGGATCAAGGCATCAGAAAATGTCAATTTACATTACATTTGAATATTTGAGGATTCTATCTATCTCAATCTGCTCATATCTGTCTATCTATCTCAATCTGCTCATATCTGTCTATCTATCTATCTATCTATCTCAATCTGCTCATATCTATCTATCTATCTATCTATCTATTTGTTAAGCATTTCACCCCAAGCAAGCACACAAGGGGTTACCGAGATTTAAAGTAAGAGTAAAGAGGGGTGTTTGAGGAAAGGATAAAGAGAAGAACAGAGCTCAAGATCAAGATATCAGAAGATGTTGGCTAATTATTGCTGGTCTGTGACCAGAGATGATCCTTCTGCAGTATACAAAAGACAAACTCAGAAGTGATGTGTGGTTGCTGAATAACTGTATATACTTCTGAATGCAGTATTGCTGCTATATTTTAGTAGGAGCAGCCCAGACCTCACTTTCCAGTCTTTATAGAGTTCAAAAGTGTCATTATTGAAGAATTATGAGTCACACATCAACCACTTTCTCACAGGCGGGATGTGGCAAGTCTTTCACTGCTTTATCACTATTATCATGGAAAGTGATCAAACAAACTGCATCTTCTGGTCTCACCAAGGCTGACCTTCATGGCTAGGACCTGCCATGCCACTTACATAGTGGTAAAACACCCATATTCCCTCCATATTTCATTAGTAAGAAGTAAGTTCCACTTGAAAAAGAATACTGATGAATTTAGCTAGATGAGTTCAAAAAAAATTTTTTCTGTTTTTTGAAACTACCCATGCCTCTCATTTTGTGCGCATGTGTAGATGTATTTGACTTTATGATAAATCTGACCACTACGGAGTGGTAAACCTGGTGTTATGTAGATGGTGAGTTGTTTGTTTTGTCTTTTATTTTTAAACTTTGTGCTGTGGCAATTGTCCATAACTATATATATATATATATATATATATATATATATATATATATATATATATATATATAACACCATAATCTTTTTTTGACAGGCCCATCATTCTAAAGAAATCTGTTGATAACATCTTAAGATTATGGAGGCTCCTTACATAAAACAATTCAAGCCATGTCTCAAACACACCTCATTTGACAAGGAAAACTTAATATATTTTGTCTGTAACATTCAATGAACCATATATATATATATATATATATAGTACTAAGTTGCAAGAGTTTTTGGGTGCTAAAATTGCTGGTTCTTTTTCCATAGCTGACTTGTTGGAATGCATTTTAGGCAGGCATTTTTTTGTCATAAAGTTCTTGATATCAAAAGGTAAAGATAAAGTATTAATAGAATTAATGTGGAGGAACTTCTCACTTAACAGAAAACTTCAAAGTCGGCATGACTGAACCAGCAACACTTAGTTATGTAATAAGTTTCTCCATTTTAATTCTCTCTCTCTCTCTCTCTCTCTATATATATATATATGGTTTAAAAAAGAACAATTGGAAATAATTCTTAGTTTTTACTGATGTGTTTTGTCTTCCACCTTTATCAAGGCAAGCAATGAAAAGCAAAATGCATAGATGTATTTGACCCTATGAAGAATCTGACCTGGTGTTTTTTCTAGATGGTGAATTGTTCATTTTATCTTTTATTTTAAACTTTGTGCTGTGAAAATTGTCCATAACAATATATATATATATATATATATATATATATATATATATATATATATATATATATATAGATATGATAACATCATAATCTTTTTTTTGTAAAGAAATCTGTGGATGACATCTTGAAATTATGAAGGGTCTTTACATAAAACAGTTCAAGCCATGCCTCAAATATACCTCATTTGACAACAGCAGTAATAAGTTTATGGATTTTTAAAAGACACCCCAACATGGAATCACAACCAGATTTCTCTTTGAGAGCTTAGAATTTCTACTAGTTCCACACATTACAACTATAGGATCATGATCCTATATCATTTATAAAAACCCCAAATCACACGCACCAAATTTAATAATACAACAACGTATTCTGATTGGCTGAAAAATATCAATTATGTGTCGTCAACTACATCCGAATGTGCTGACCCTATTTTTGATCCAAGCAAAGATACATTTGCGGCAAAAATTCTGGAGCCCACCACATGACGCATATTGTGTATATTAACAACACAAAATTCAGAAACAGACATTGAGGTGGGAAAATCTAACCTGGAGCTATACTGCATGTGTCACTATTCTTCATTTCAGGCTATATGTTAAAATTCTTTTAACATTAAAACAGTCTGCATTGCTTTTTTAACACAAGCTAACTAAAAGTCAACAGCTAACAAAGCAAGACAACCCACTTAAAACACGAAGGAAGTCCATTCATTCACACACAATTTTCATAAACCTCAAGCTGTTTAATTTCAAGATAGTATAATGCAGTATAATTTGGTCTATCTCATGTTCACACACATTATTCCACAACTTAAGATCTATCTCATCAGAATGTTACCAAAACTCAAATCCAAACATACAAAGACATTTGAATGTTTTAAACAGCTTTTTCAACAAATCTTTGTACCTTTTGTTATATAAAAATTTATATTTATTGTTATGCAAACACTTTTGTCTTGAATATCATTGTTCTCTTGTTGTCCATTATTTTGTTACATTTGCAATAATATAAATGTATAAGGATTATTAGACCCATATAAATCAGTAACCCCTAAACACCTTAGAACACAAATAATGAAAACAACAAGCCTCTTAAAATCACATGCAATAATAATCATTACGGACAGTTTCTCAAATCTCTTAGCAGACCAAAAAGGAAAACTATATATATTTTCTTTGTTTGTCCCATTCAACGAACCATATATATATATATATAGTACTAAGTTGTAAGAGTTTTTTGGTGCTAAAATTGCTGGATCTTTTTCTATAGCTTACTTGTGGAAAAGCATTTTAGGCATGCAGTTTTTTTGTCATAAAGTGCTTGATACCAAAAGGTAAAGATAAAGCATTAATAGAATTAATGTGGAGAAACTTCTCACTTAGAGGCACACATAAAACTTCGAAGTTGGCATGACTCAACCAACAACACTTAGTTATGTGATAAATTTCTCCACGTTAATTCTCTCTCTCTATGTATATATATATTGTTTCAAAAAGGACAATTGGAAATAATTCTTAGTTTTTGCTGACCTGTTTGCTCTTCCGCCTTTATCAAGGCAGGCAATGAAAGTGAAATATTTTGTTGTCATAGTTACATCAAATCTAAAATTTAAAAAAGAGAGACACTCCTGTGTAAGCCTCTTTCTGGATATTGGTAACTTCCTTTTTACTAAGAGTTTGTTTCTGTTTTCCATGTCGACAATATAATCAAATTACCCATAATAATAATATATCTGTTAGATTGTCCCACATTCCACTGGTTAGGCTATTTGGACCACAGACTCTAGACCTGGAATGACTGGATACTGGAAGTTCAATCTGTCTTTACTGGACAGGTGGGACTTCCGGCAATAGCTGATTAGCATAGGGCAGTGGGGTATAATGGGGGCAGTTAATGGGAATAGGTGGCGGGAAAGGCTTAAGGATAGGATTAAGTTTTTCACCACCAAATATAGCCAACAGCTTGCACTTGATAAGGCTAACAGGGTGAAGGCTTTTAAGGATAGTCTTTCCTGGGTGGTGGCAGTTTACACAGCACTGAAGACGGTCAGCAGTGGCAGGACTTGATGGTTTTGAATTGTACTTGAGGCTGTCATACATCTTTGTTCTCATTTTGACTGCCGTGTTCAACAACTGGTTCTGCCAGGGGTCCATCCGCGACCAGATTTCAAGGGGAGTGATCATGCTGTTGAGAAAGAAAAAGGGTGTTGGGCAGGATTTAGATAATTACAGACCCATAACTCTACTAAACACAGAGATTAAGATTATGACAACAAAACATTTTGCTTTCATTGCTTGCCTTGATAAAGTTGGAAGATGAAATGCATCAACAAAAACTAAGAATTTTTTTCCAATTGTCATTTTTTAAAACCAATTTGTCTTATCTTCAGGATTATTCTGGGAAATTTAACTATATTGTTGACATGAAAAACAAAAAGCAATCTCTTAGTAAAAAGGAAATTACCAATATGCAGAATGAGGCTTACACAGGAGACTCTCTTTTTCAAATTTTGGATTTGATGTAACTATGACAATAAAACATTTTGCTTTTAATTCTTGCCTTGATAAAATCAGAAGACAAAACACATCGGCAAAAACTAAGAATTTTTTCCAACTGTCATTTTTTAAACCAATTTGTCTTATCTTCAGAATTATTCTGGTAAATTTATATATATATATATATATATATATATATATGTGTGTGTGTGTGTGTAAAATTTCAGATAGAATATATCTGTAAAAAGACAATATGAATAAAGACCAAAGGAAACTCAATGGACATATTTCATCCTCTGAGGGACTTTATCAGGCTAAATGCAAAGATTTTATTAAGTATTTATAGACAAGAGCAAAAATGTTGTTAGTTTTTCAAAATCTTTGGATTTAAGAAAGGTTCATAAATATTCATTAGGCTAACTGGAAAGTCTAGCTAAGTTATGGAGGATGCTAAGTGACATAATTTAATGTCTCAAAAATGAAACTGAGTAAAAGATGTTCTTGAAATTTTTTATGCCAATTAATATTTCAATTATAATTCACGTGTCACATATTTTAAGATGTATAAATATATAAATCAATGTAGATGTAGAAATGAGCTAAATAAACCATATCTGTGAGCAATTACACATACAGGTGAGTAAATATTTATTTAATTTTTGGTGTAAACAAAACAGTGCTCAATGTAGTTAAACAGAGCTCTAATATACAGTGGAACTGCAGTTCACAAATTTAATTTGTTCCTGAAGCCTGTCTGTAAACTGAAATTATTTTTCCAACAGGAATTACTGTAAAATGGATCAATCCGTTCTTGGTCCCAAGATGATTGCTTATTTAAACTTTAACAACAGTACTTTGTGCACAGGTTTATACACAAAACTAATGAAAATCATTAAATCTAAGAAAAAATAAATAAACCCAATACTAAACACATAAAATATAGATGAACTCTTCAGTTTTATTATACCTATTCTATTAGCAATTATCAATATATAGAACATCTGGACAGTTTTTACACATTTTATGTTGAGAAAAGAAAGCACTTATATGACC